TAGAGAATGGTTGTAGACTCTATAGTAATGAGAACAGAGTGGCAAAAGTGTGAGAGATTCTTTTTTGACTTRTCATGAATGGAGCTTCATTTCCATACCTCCAGTATTGTGTTTTGGTTATAGGTGGGTGGTCGTAGGGGGCGTTTAAACTATGACTATTGATTGTAATATCTGAAACAGAGTAAACCCACAGGCGGCATCACTCCCAGTCTTCTTAACCTTGTCGGAATCCTCATCTATGGTGACTCCTTCTATTGATCCACATCTTTCTAGATGTAACGATTTGTGCAAATTCAGTGAGATGCGTAGAGATCGAAAAGAACACCAACGATGAAAGCACTCTGCTGGGACAAGAGTTTGGAAGAATCAGTGTGAGGAATCTCAACATCATTTTTGGCATCCTTTCAAGGGGGTGATGTTGAAAAATATTTGAATAAGATAGATGAAACAAAATAAAGTTTTAATCTTTATAAAAAACTTTAAATATTTAACGGATAAAATTAAACCGTTTAGTGTTCATAACCCACAACACCTCAACAGAGTGTCAATTCACACAGATTGAATCTATCCTTCGCGATAGATTCAATGAAAGAAAGGAGTGGAAGCAGAGTTGTTCACTTAGTGAACAGAAAATTAATTACAATGCGGAAAATATAAAACCAACCTGATTAAACTGTCGATTTGAATTGTAATCTGCACGGTAAAACCTGTACGACCACTCTATTCACGTTGTGAGTCTGCTAGTCGCAAAGCCCCAGGATTTGATGCAGTATACGATTCGTTTATGAATAGCAATCTAAACAAAAAAAATGAGCACGGTAGATGCAGAAAATCGATAGAGAAAAATTAGACTCGAAAGCAACAATCGAAGTAGGGAAAGCACTGATTTTTTTTGTGTGTTTTGAGAGTTGGCTTCAACCCAATTTATATACTGGTTGAAGCCTACTACTTCTCCACGAAATCCTCACAAAATCGCTGATCGATAAGGATATTTATCAACTGATCATTATCTCAAAAACGTGGAAGACCAAGTCAAAAAACTATTTGTTTTAAAATAAAAAACAGTTTATTTTCCTTCTCCTTTCGATTTTGTACGAAAAATACACACAGAGCTTGGGGCGAGGCTCATTCTACTCCGATGCGGCGTGCGAAGTGCAAGGTGCGACTCCTCGCACCACCTTCCTCGGTTACGATCGCGGCTACGCGCGCGCGTGTGTGTTAGGCCTTCCACTCAAGACCCCCACCATGAGTCCACCAACTTGTTCAAAGCCCAATTCTAGAGAGAGCCTTATAAGTTTCTCTAGAAAAACCTTTTCTACCAATGTCGGATGGAAGACAAACTTCCAACCCACAAAATTTCCAACAATCCCCCACCAGGTTGGAAAGTTTTCTGACATTCATTGTAGATAATGTTACAGTGGTGTCACTAAGATTAAACCCTGTTTAATGTAAGTATGCAAGAAGGGATCAATTCAATGGTATCCTTAGGATTTAAACCTTGAATCTTGCGACCACTCCGGTTTACTTACACACATCATCTATCAATCATTGCTTTCTTACTGAGAGCTAATATGGCTATGCGCTAAACCCTGTTTCATGACTTACTAAAAGAGAAACC